TAGAACTCTCAGTGTTAGATGCCACCTAAGTTTATTCAGATAGGGTCTCAGGGACATTAATACTTTGATTTATTTGGAGAGCACCCATTAAGCATTAGTAGGAGACCTGGTTCCTAACGGGAATTAATTTGGTATAAGTGTAAAGAGGCCTATCTGGCAATATAGTGACCCACATAAATCCTTGTACCTACCTGTGAGTCATGGAGGGTCTGGATACGGCAATGTAAGTCTCATTATCTTCTCTCTAAAGCATCTATGATAAGGTAGATGGACAACCTCAGTTTAATAGGTAGAGAATTCCCAGTTAGTTCCAGGAGCCACGGAAAGGATTCTAACAACTTTAGGATCCATTTACCACATAACAAGACAGTGCATATTTTTCCCTGATTAATCAGTCAGCCTTGGCAGACTGCAGCAAGCTGATGAGACCACAGGCTCACTAAGAGTTATTTTAGCATCTCTCAGGATTGTGAGGGCCTTAGTGTGAGTAGATAAACACTAAGTAAAGACTAGGAGGAAACTGGGGGAGGACTAAGAGGAAGGAGTACTTAATGAGAAAGTGCAACCCACAACTTCCTTTCCCTCTAGGAAACTCCAAGCAGAACTCACTTGATATACGGCCCTCTTACATCTAACTCTGGAGAGTCAGGAAAATGAAGGCCTTGCTATAAGGCTGGAGGAATCACATGGGCTGAGGAGTGAGTTTATACCTTGGCTGACAGAGAACTAAAGAGACCCATGGCCTCCTAGCAGTAGGGTCCCATAGAGGGTACAGTAGGCTGGTTGTAGCTCATGTTTTCTTTCGTCACAGGGTTCTGAGGGAGGTAAAAATATTAATCTGCTTTGAAGGGTATCAAGTCAATAGGGGAGACTTTCAGGTGATCATGAGGAATTCAGGAAACTCACACCTTATATTGGGGAGGTCCCACAGAGTCCCGCTTGATGTTATCCCCATGAGGCCTCAGTTACAGAAGTTCCCTTAGTTTCTCCGCAAGACTAACTAACCACTAAAAATGTGGGTGTAGCTGGAGTTTTCTCTCCAGGTCCTACCAAGCCCCGGCAGTCTGACAGCCCACTTATAAAATAAACATACAGATGCTTATATTATTTACAAACTGTATGGCCATGGCAGGCTTCTTGCTAACTGTTCTTATATCTTAAATTAACCCATTTCTATAAATCTATACCTTGACACGTTGCTCGTGGCTTACCGGCATCTTCACATGCTGCTTGTCATGGCGGCGGCTGGCAGGTCTCTCCCTTTGCCTTCCTGTTCCCTCAGTTCTCCTCTCTGATAGTCCCACCTATACTTCCTGTCTGGCTCCTGGCCAATCAGTGTTTTATTTATATAGAGTGATATCCACAGCACTTCCCCTTTTCTTCTTTTTCAAAAAGGAAGGTTTTAACTTTAACATAGTAAATTTACAGATAACAAAACAATTACCAAGCAAGAATTACAGTTATAATATCTAGTCTATTTATAATAACATTTATTTGACAAAATTAAAGAAGGTATCCTATCTATCTTATATTTGTGAGTCTAAGGTTTTATATCTAACTTATCTTTTATCATAACTAAGGAAAATTGTAACTATCTAGCTTCAACTACATCAAAGACCTCAGAAGGATATACTATTACCTGAGAAGTGGGAGAAGGATGCAAGCAACTTTTGGGAGTCTTGCAGGGTAGACAGAGACAGCTGGCAGCCTGGACAGTCATGCAAAATTCTCTTGTAAAGAGTTGGGGCATCTGTCTTTAGCCCACAGGCCTAGAGTCTCTCAGTCACTTTTTTTAGTGTCCTGTAGAATGTCTGGCAGTTTCCTCTGCGAAGCAGAAACCTGAAGGACCATTTTGTCAAGCAAAGTTCAGTGGTCACCTTTTTATGGGTCTTGTATGTCCAGTCGATCAAGCAGTCCAGGCAAGAACACTTTCTTGCCCAAATGGCTATTTTTGCCAAGGTGAAGATAAACTCCATATGGAGTGTCTTCAATGCCCATTCTCCTCTCTGAAGTAAATTGGTGCTGCCAGTAGCAGACATGTCTCACTGTCCAGAAAGTCTAAATTTTTAAAATATTTTAAATGCCATATTCTGTAGGTCTTTGAAGTATTTGAAGATTACCTATCTATCTGAAATATATCTATGTATATCTAGAAGACTTAACTAACATGACTACGAGTGTGATTATCATAGATGAGTAATTATTAATCTATTTTTAATTATCCATTACAATTTTAAATGAGCTGTACAAACGTAACACCTTAAACAAGAGTAGAAATATACACCCAGTATAACAAAATTAACTTTAAGTTTGTATGAATAAACTAAAATCTGTACCATTGTAAAACATTTTAAACAAGTTGTTGCTCTTTAAAATAGGTTTAACAATTAACCCTTTTATCCTATCATATCTGTATCACATCCCCTCTTCTTCTTTAGAAAGAGATTGTATTTATAATCAACTTGTTTTAAATAAAAATATTGGTTTTTCTCTGTCCTACACCAGAGGGCTCTTTTGATTTGGGACATAAGAATCTCTGAATCTCTTAAGCTTTTTTTTTTTTTTTTTTTTTTTAGCAATATGCCTGGGTTTAGAGAGGGAGTGAGCCAATTCCATCTCCAAACCCAGCTTGGTATGTTTGGGAATTTGGGCGTAGCTTCTCTTACTACTTCCTGCTGGAAGGGGGCACTGTATCTTATGGGGACACAAAGAAAATTTTAGAATTATGGAGTAGTCCATGAAGGTGTATCGTCTGAGCCAGTTGCCTTGAAACGTTCTGGATATTGGATCATCTGGGCCTTGGTGTCATTGGAGACCTTTCAGGGGGTCTTGGCTGGTCAAACCTGATGTATCTTAATCTGGAACAAATCCATAGCCTCTGGCTTTCTGTGGAAACAAAAGCAGAGCCTCTGTTCCAAAGCAACATATTCTTACATCTAAATTTTGAAGTCAAGGTACCTTTAAAATATACATTTTGCATAACTCAACAGCTTTTGCAATCAAATGTTTTTCTTCAGTTACGAATATCAAAGAGAACATAATCCAGATTCTCTATGTGGTAGCCATCTTTACATGGCTTATTGTTTTTTTAATTTTTTTTTTTTTTTTGGTTTTTCGAGACAGGGTTTCTCTGTGTAGCTTTGCTCCTTTCCTGGAACTCACTTGGTAGCCTAGACTGGCCTTGAACTCACAGAGATCCGCCTGGCTCTGCCTCCCGAGTGCTGGGATTAAAGGCGTGCGCCGCCGCCGCCGCCGCCACCACCACCCGGCACGTGGCTTATTTTTTATGTTACCTTGAACCTATTGCTTTAAACTGCAGCATTCTAAGACTGAAACAGCTGTGACTGCTGGCTCCACCTACTTCAGCTTTCCAACATGGTGGTGGTACGTTTTCTGCCAGCTCTGGGAGCCATCAACTCTCAGAAATAGTGGGTCTGTGCTTCTATCAAAGCAGTGTGTAGCCCTGAAACGTCTTTTTTTTTAAACTAGTAAAAACTATATCCAACACACAGCATAGTGTGCAGTTTGGAGACACCTCTGTGTAACATAGCCTAGGTCAAGCCCGCACACAGGCCACAAACCCTCCATAGCTCAAACCCGCATGTTGCGGCGTCTAGCCGCCATATGAGACATGAAGCAGGAACCTGGTTTGGGCTCCGTTTAGAATTGGTTATTAAATATTTTAGGTTTAAGGTGGAAACTCAAGCCATTGGGCGCCATTTGTAGCTGGAGTTTTCTCTCCGGGTCCTACCAAGCCCCGGCAGTCCGACAGCCCACTTATAAAATAAACACATAGACGCTTATATTATTTATAAACTGTATGGCCATGGCAGGCTTCTTGCTAACTGTTCTTATATCTTAAATTAACCCATTTCTATAAATCTATACCTTGACACGTTGCTCGTGGCTTACCGGCATCTTCACATGCTGCTTGTCATGGCGGCGGCTGGCAGGTCTCTCCCTTTGCCTTCCTGTTCCCTCAGTTCTCCTCTCTGATAGTCCCACCTATACTTCCTGTCTGGCTCCTGGCCAATCAGTGTTTTATTTATACAGAGGGATATCCACAGCATGTGGGTCTTAGTCTGATGAATCAGCAAGGGGAAGAATTCGGGCCTTTTTGAGACTCGAAGACTGAGTGAGGACCATGAGCTAAATGACACATGAAAGGGCCTTAACCTACCTGCCACAGCCTTAGGCCTCTGGAAAATATGGTCAATATGGCTACATAGAGGCACTCTCACACCTTCTGCTAAGTGTCAGTGAGGTTTAAGTATAGAGAGGGGAGCTAGCGCTAAGTACTTCAGGATTCAGTGTATAAACAATAGGTGAAAACTGAAAGTACTTCTCCCTCAATCCCAGTTTATGGAAACCATACTCTGTGGATGTCTTGGTACTCAGCCCTTGGCGCCTCAGAACACAGTTGAGACTCAATTCTTTATATCATGTTTAAGTGAGATGTAATCCTCTTGCTGAAGGTACAAGAGAAAGGAGGGTTCTTGACCCTGTATGGAGACAAAATGATAATTCTTAGTGACAGTTAAGGGACCCAGAAAGACAAATTAGATCCTCACAGAGCTGTTGATAATTCTTCCTTATAGGAGCAGTGGGAGGAAAATCCTCCTGCATTTTCTTTTCATGACTACTAGGGGGATTTGAGCTTTCAGCTGCTGAGCAGCACAGGAAAGAGGTTCTAGGACCCGCTGAAAGTAGTGTGTGTGAACTGAGAAGACTCCAGCAAGCCTAGCTTATAGAGGAGCCTGGCTTGTTGCAGCCTGCACAAACCATAACTTCCTTCACTGTTTTCTCAGGCTAACCAAGAAGAATTCCTAGATTAGTATTTGTATGTTTGTATATAAACCTGTAGAGGCAGGTTGCTAAAAGCCAAAGTGCTATGATCCTCCTGAAAGTTCTTACAGGATCTCCTTATCCTTCCTCCAGGCCCCCCAAAGTGCTTGATTTCCAGCCCACACTCCTACCTGCGGCTTCTCACCACAGCCATCATGCCCAGGGGACATAAGAGTAAGGCCCGTGCTCGAGAGAAACGCCGCCAGCTCCAAGATGAGGCCCAGGGGCTCAAGGATGCTCAAACAAAGGCAGACGAGAAAGAAGAGTCACCCTCCTCCTCTGCTCATGATTCTGGAGATGCTGTTGCAAGCACCTCTGCTGCTAGCTTCCCTCAGAAGTCTAAATCTCTGGGTGAGGCACCTCCCATCACTGCTGGTAAACATGTGGCCCGCAGAAGATCTGGTAAAGGTGCCAAAGGCCTAAGGGAGCAAAGCGCTAGTTGCTGCTCTAAGGCCCCACAGTCCGCTGAGAGCCTCCAGAATGTCCTTGTAACAAGGAAGGCGGGAATGCTGATGCAGTATCTGCTCTGCAAGTACAAAATGAAACAGCCAATGAATAAGGGAGAGATGCTGAAAGTCATCAACAAAAGATTCAGGGAGCAGTTCCCTGAGATCCTCAAGAAAGCCTCTGAGCGCATACAGCTCGTTTTTGGTCTTGAAGTGAAGCAGCTCAAGCCCAATGGTAGCTACTACACCCTTGTCAGCAAGTTAGACCCCAGCATTGGTGGGACTCTGGCCACTGGCTTGCCTTTCCCCCAAAATGGGCTTCTGATGCCTCTGCTGGGTGTGATCTTCTTAAATGGCAACCGTGCCTCTGAGGTAGAGATCTGGGAATTCCTGAATATTTTGGGAATCTATGATGGGAAGGTGCACACAATCTTTGGGGAGCCCCGACACCTCATCACCAAAGTTTTGGTTAAGGAAAAGTACCTGGAGTACCGGCGGGTGGCAAACAGTGAGCCTCCAGGCTATGAATTCCTCTGGGGTCCCCGAGCCTATGCTGAAACCACCAAAATGAAAGTCCTGGAGTTTTTAGCCAAGGTCAATGAGACCGTTCCTCAGTCCTTCCCATCTCATTATGAAGAGGCTTTGAGAGATGAGGAAGAGAGAGCTGAAGCTGTAGGCAAGTGTGGCACTACTGCCACAAACAAGGCAGAGTCTAAAGTCACACCTGGTGACTCCTCTTGCTCCTAGAGAAATTAGAGGCAGATGTATCCTTGGGTATGGAGCAGAGTTTCCCACATTAAAAGGAGTGAGAGGCTGAGAGTTCATAATATGTATCTTCTTATACTTTGGTTATACATTAGTACTTTTCAAGTGTTTCCCTTTTCTTAGAATTCTTATTTAGATTCAGAATCAATAGTTATAAATAACATAGTTCATATTACTTGTTGCTGGAAGATTTAACTATAAGAATTTTGATATTCTATATTACATTCTAAAAACCCTTGAATTTTTAAGTTGAAGAGCAAGCAACCATGACTTTATAATGGAGATTTTTTTTTAATGTGTGAGAGAGTGTAATTTGTTTCCTAAAAAAAGGAAAACAAATCAAAATGTATAAACTGCCATTTTCCTTATTCACTTTTGTTTCTGTTTCACTTTTTGGTAAAGTTTGAAGAAATATACTTAGTTGTTGTTAACTGAATAAAAATGCAAAAAAGAAAATTTGTTTAATAGACTCATTTGTTCTGGTCACCTCCTCTTTGGAAGACTGCTAGTGTTACCTTAAACCATTATGTGCCATGAGGAAGGAGAGAGACAACACTTATGAGTTCCAAAGATTTTATTTATTCACCACATAAGTGGATAACTAATCAAGCAGGGCGGCAGAACAAGGACTCGGGAGCCTTTATGTCTCCTGACAGACTTGAGCAGGGGCAGAAATGCGGTTTATAAGCGTAACAATCACAAACATTTGTTGCCAGGTTACAGTTAAAATTTTCACCAATCAGGATTTAGAGATTAGGGGCTTCCTTGAATGTTCCAGCATTGTCAACTGACAAACAATGCAAGCCTTTTAGTCCAAACTATAAGATTCATTTGTTCCTTCTGTTGTTGGGAACAGCCATAATGTTTCTAAAGAACTAAAGATGCATAACGACTATTTCTATGGTTTAGGGAGGAGGTTGGTCAGCGATTGGAAAGTTCTCAGCTCCCCTAGGGCTTGGGAACCTGAATTTTATTTCACCCTGCAGGTAAAATGGAGTATGAAGTCAAAAGGTGCTTTTGCCTGCTACCTTCACTAGTAGTGACAGTTTTAAGAAAAGAGGCTTTTTTGCCTATCCATAGGAATTAGAGTCTAAGAGAATATATTATAAAAAATGATGTGGTACACTAATAAAGACCAAGTAAAAAAGAGTCAGGATGTTGGCAAAGAAGGTCTGGATAAGAGCTGGTAAAGTAGAAATTCCCAAGCCAAGGTACTTTGGGGTTTGGAACATTACTACTTATTTGTTAAGAGGTCATTTTGTTTTATTTCTGATTTTTTTCTTTTTCTTTATTCTTCCATATAATACATCCTGACTGCAGTCTCTCCAACCTCTCCTCCTCCCACCCCGCTACTTCACCTCTACCCCAGATCCACTCCTGCTCCATACATATCCCTTCGGAAAAAAAAAAAAAAAAGAGCAGGTCTTCCAGGGATATTAACCAAACAGCATAACAAGATGCAATAAGACTAGGCACAATCCATCGTATAACAGCTGGATGAGGTAACCCACTGGGAGGAAAAGGGTCCCAAGAGCAGGCAAAAGAGTCAGAGGCAACCCCACTCCCACTGTTAGGAGTCCCACAAACACCCAAGCTAAACAACCACAACATGTATGCAGAGGACCTAGCACAAACCTACACAGGCTCCATGATTGCAACTTCCATCTCTGTGAGCCCCTATGAGCCCTGCTTAGTCGATTCTGTGGGCCATGTTCTGGTGTTCTCGACCCTTCTGGCTTCTACAGTCTTTCCTTCCCCTCTTCTGTGGGGTTCCCCAAGTTCCTCTTAGGAGTTTGTCTGGGTCTCTACATCTGCTCCCATCAGCTGCTGGAGGAAGCTTCTCTGATGATTGGGCTAGGCGTGGATCTATGAGTATAGCAGAGTATTGTTAAGAATCATTTCGTTGACTTATTATTTTTATTGTAATTATTATTATCCTGTCAGTTATGTTTGGTTGTACCCTAGGTCTCTGAGCCATCAAGGACAGGCTAGGGCACTCCCATAAGCTCTGAGCCACCATTGTCCCAGCACGTCCTGAAGGCAGAGCAGGTTTTTGGTCAAGGGTTTTGTGGCTGGGTTGGTGTCCCAGTCTCACCACTGGGAGCCTTGCCTGGTAACAGAAGATGGCCATCTCAGGCTTTGCGTCCTTCATTACTAGGAGTCTCACTAGGGTCACCCTCATAGGTTTCAGAAAGTTTCCACCGCACTAGGTTTCCACATTGCCCCCTAAATGCCCACAGCTATTCCAGCCTTCTCTCCCCATACTCTCTCCCTCTGTCCCTCCCTCCCTCCTCCACCTGATCCCTTGTGTTCCCATCCCCACCCACCCCCAGTCCACCCACAAAATCCCCTTCCCAGGGAGATCCATGTGTCCCCCTAGACTAGAGGTCATTTAAAATCAGCCCTGTTTTACATAAAGCTGGATAATCATGAGCAGATGCCAGACACTCATTTGGTGAACCCCATAGCTGAAAAACTAAACCTCAGATTGCAAGCTGTCCTTCAGAAATTATAAAGCAGAGAGATTGTCTGAATGGGGTAGGAAGAGAAGTTCTGCTCTCCTGTCCTAGTACAGTTTAGCACAGTGTAGAAATCAGTATTTCATGCAATTTTTCTTTTTTCTTTTTTCTCTCATATATTTACATCTTGTGGTGAGCCACAGAAATATGAAATAGAAGTCCAGCTATATATTATAAGCTATACCTTGACCAGACCAAGGGTCAGTCGAGTGGGAAGCCATTTAGCAAGGACTATCTGGTGTTATGCAGCTTGATATTCAGTTATGCCTTGCTATGAATTCCCTGTGCTCATAATTCCCCTAAAATGTGTATGCATGTGAACCTCCATTTCAAAGTACTTGGATAAAGTCACGTAGACAGAACCTTCTGCCTCTGAGCTCCGGCTCCTCTTCAGCATTTGTTTTGGGCATCTGCCATTTGCAAATATCCTCCCTAAGCTACTTCCTAAGATAGGGTCTACCCCAAACAAAGTCTTGAAAAACAAGCAAGGAACAAATAGCTAGCAGACCACCTGCTAGACGCCTGTAACCCCTGCCCCCCCCCCGCCCCCCCCCCCCCCCCCCCCCCCACGCTCCAAACTAAGTAAGGTAAAATGTCCATTCAGAGACAACCTGTCTCCCAGACCAAGTGTCCATCCACTAGATGCATAGCTTTGTTTCTTGTGCAAATCAAGTTCAGGTCTTCCCCTCTTACTGCCCAGAACAACTTCTTAGATCTCACCAGGTGCTTCAAGCTGTGATGCAGATTGACTAGCTATCAGTACTCCTCTCCCCGCCTCCCCCGCCCTGTCAGGAAACTGGCAGCAGAGGAAAATAGTGACAGTTGTAACTTTTAGTGACCCACAGATTTTCCATACCTTATCATCTGTAAGTTTATAGTTGAAGACATTTATGATAGACTCATAATGCTTTCACCTAACCACAGGATCTATTTCTAGCACATCAATTCCTTTTCTGATTTATTCCTACTGCTATCTGACGCCACTCTTGTCCTTCCCCTTTTGAGTTGAAAATAAAGTTGCCAGGAAGCTTCTGGTGGGGACCTGGCAATCTTGTGTTGTATACTAAGCAGGAGATGTTGCTGCTTGGGAAAGGATATAGACCAGTCCCTAGAGAAGGAAGAGAGGATTGAATTGAGGAATTGAATTGAGGGAGTTGAACTGAGAGAGTTGAATTGGTGACTGAATGATGGTGGCAGGCGAATAGACAAATTGGACGAAAGAGCTTCGTGCATCTGGATTCATTCCTGTGCCAATGGTAGTGTCCCTACTGGGCCCCTGGGATAGTATAATATTAAGGCTGGGCATTTAATATTATACAAAAACATCTGGATCATAGTTTCCCCTCCCTCCTCTTTTTTAAGTCCCTCCCCTCTCACCTCACCTCTCCCCAAGTTGACTCCTCCTCCTTTCCATTCAGAAAAATGCAGGCTTCCCAGGGATATCAACCAAACATGGCATATCATGTTACAATAAGACTAGGCGGGGCTGGAGAGATGGCTCAGAGGTTAAGAGCACTGACTGCTCTTCCAGAGGTCCTGAGTTCAATTCCCAGCAACCACATGGTGGCTCACAACCATCTGTAATGAGATCTGGTGCCCTCTTCTGACCTGTAGTCATACATGCTGTATACAAAATAAATAAATCTTTAAAAAAAAAAAAGACTAGGCACATCCCCACATATTAAAACTGGATGAGACAACCCCGTAGGAGGAAAAGGGTCCCAAAAGGAGGCAAAGGAGTCAGAGACACCCCCTGCTTCCACTGTTAAGAGGACTCCAACAAGAGGACCAAGCTGTACAACTGTAACATATATGCAGAGGGCCTAGGTCAGTCTTATGCAGGCTCTCTGGTTGTCAGTTCAGTTTCTGTGAGCCCTTATGATCCCTGGTTAGTTATTTCTATGAGTTTTCTTATGGTGTCTGTTGTATTTAAAATAGCGGGTGGCAGCCTTGGTGGGTGGGAGGCAAAGGGCACAGTGGAAAGTCACTCACATCATGCAGACAGTGCTCACATAGAGGATTTTATTAAGAGAAGGGAAGAAGGCACACAGAGTATACTTCTGGAGATAAAGGTTGAGGAGAGGAGGAAGAGAGAGGACAAGGAGAGGAGACGAGGAAGAGAGGAGGTGCAGAGGCAGCCTCGCAGGGAGAGAGAGAGAGAGAGAGAGAGAGAGAGAGAGAGAGAGAGAGAGAGAGAGAGAGAGAGAGAGAGAGAGGGAGAGGGAGAGGGAGAGGGAGAGGGAGAGGGAGAGAGAGAGAGAGAAATGTGGACAGAGCTCACCTCTTAAAGGGGGCTTAGCACATGCACAAATGGGCTACTTAGGATGATGTTGTCAGGACCCTGAGCTGGCCTGGCCGTGGTACTGCCTGCTTACTGGCTAGGTCCTCAAGAGGCCAGCTGGGTAATATCTAAATGCTAATAGTGTCCTTGATCCCTCTGGCACCTACAATCCTTCCTCCCCC